ATTAGTGACCTAGAATTGGTCTCTGATATGCAATGAATGATGTCAGTTTTCTGGAAAAATGAGAATGAGACATTTTTCTGATTGCCTAAATAGAATGTGATCTGATTTAGCATGTTTGTTGTGTCCTTTTCCACATGTCTTCCTGAACGTTCTGTTCTGCTACATGTACTTCAGAGACTATTGGCAATTCCTTTTTGATTAATTCTGTTCTGCTACATGTACTTCAGAGACTGTCAGCAATTCCTTTTTGAATGTCCATCCAGTGATATTCAGTTCTCTCATTATAGCCTCCTTCTGAAGAAATTAAAACAGGCGAGGATGAAGATGAGGAAGATAACGATGCTTTATTAAAGGAAAACAACGAAAGTAAGACTGTGTTCATAGGCTTCTTTCCATTTTTCCTCTCAACACTTGTTGTACAAGGAGTTTGCAAGCAGCCCTGTGTTCTCCCAAGATCATCCTGTCTCTTGCTTCTAATCTGCCATATTGATTGGTGCTCAAGCCTGTGTTGAATTTCTGATTTCTTGAAGGCAACCAGAAGTAGAGAGGCCATAATGTTGCCGTGCTTGATACTATTGTGCTCCTTGGACTTGAGAGGAATCTGGCCATCTTGATGATATCTCATCTGGTAGTTGGCTAGTCTGTGCATCATGCATGAGTAGAAGTTGTTTTGTCTTCTCCAAGCTTTCTTACGCTTATCATGGTTCATTTGGCAAAAGACATTTTTTGAGAAAGTATCACTTTTCAGTCTGTGTTTATGATCATTTAAGCAGTCTGCATGAGATCTTTAAACCGTCTTCACCCAAAGCAAAAGTTTTCAGAGGCCATTTACCCTCCCAGTTTCATCTCCTTCTCCTACCCAGTTTGTGAATCAGTAGCTGTCTGTGATCTTGGCATATTGTTTCCTCTCTGTGGCCTCAGTTTGCTTATCCCTCCATTTGCATCCCTCCTATTTCCTATGTTCTCTCTTTGTATGCAGTTTGAGCTGAGTGCTGGTGTAACTTCATGTAGTTCATATGTTCCTTCATGAATGCTTCCACTTCTGTCCTTTATCCTTCCCCTCCCCCCCGCCAACATGGCACAAAAAACTTAACCCTCATTTTAATTACTCCTTCAACAGACTCTTGCTTAGTGTGTCTCTTCTGCTGCCCTTTCCCATAACATTTTGTTCTCCTTTTAATATGCATACAACTAGTTCTGCTGCTAGCCATCTTTTCTCTAGTTTATTCCAAATCTAGCTGCTTTTTAATATTATCCTGCTTAAAAATATCCCTTAAATTAAAACCGTGGAGTAAAATTTCATCTCAGTTGCATTTTTTTAGCAGAATGCTTTGAGAGGAGTACAGGAACTCACTGCTTAGTTTTATTTCTGTAGAGAAACACGGGTACATGGAACAACCTAAAAATCTACTAATAGAATAAAGATTGAGTCCAGTTTATACCCAGAATTAAACTTTGTCAGTCTTAAAGGTGCCACTGGACTCAAACTTTGTTCTGGTGCTTCTGACCAATGTGGCTATGCATCTGAATCTATTAAAAATCTACTGATATTGACGTAATGGTCCCTGCAAATGTGTTGTGATAAAACATGTCCCTTTTGTGATTTTGCAAAGGAAAACTGGTTCAGGGTAACAGTGAATTGTTTTAGTTGTCTTTTGGTTGGCACAAACAGTGGGTTTCATCACCACAGATTGTGCTTGATGTAGAAAAATACCACATGTACAAAAAATGTTAATGATCTATAAAGATGGGCGCTGAGAGGCACACCGGGCAGTATCCTACCATCCATCTACATTACTGCAGCTCTTCCCAGCCTCCAGAAAGATTATCTCTGGGACTGCAGAGGAACAGCCATGAGGGTCAGTGAGCTGAAGTGAGGGAGGGAGGGACATGGAGAAGAAATTGCTCCCTCCCCCCAGCAGAGCTCCACTTAGAGAAGAGGAGGAAGAAGTAATTTTAGTTCTTGTCCTTCCTCGTTTCAGCCCAGACACTTGTACCTCCATGTGGGTCCTTCAGCCCCTGGGACTGATCTTTCCAGGGATCAGCAATGGAGAGGAATACAGGAAAATGCACCTTCCACACACAGAGTGATGGGAAACGTGGAAATGTGAATACATTTTGTGAAAACGTTTTTTTCAAAAAACCTCAGCCACTACTTGACAATGTGTTTGAATCTCCTACTGCTTAACAGGAACCATTTATTCTGAATAGTATCTTGAGTGAGTGCAACTCTGTAAACTTTAAAGAGAAGGTTAGAAGCATTGTAAAGCACTTTGGGAGATGTTATGGGAAGATCTATGGAGCAGATTCATTTTGCCCAATCAAAACTAATGCAAGTTAGCTATTCCATTTCATAGATCATGAGACTGCCCACCCAGCAGGCTTCCTCTCATCTGTGGTAAATGTGGAATGAGTTAAAGTAAATTTTGAGAACAGAGTTAGTGATTTCAGAAAGTATATCAGCACAGCATAACTCACTTACATTAGCTTTCTTTTGGGATGTGTCTACTAGTATGTTGTGATAATACTGTGTTATGTTTATGCCAGCCATTTATTTTCAGCCGAATGCTGGCAGAACTTTAGACAGGAACTGGCTTCATTGTTTCTATTTATAGTTAGAAGTAAATTCCATAGAAATCTAGAAAGATTTGGTTTTCTGTAAACGTGTGCTCTTGCTTAGCTTACAAACTGTTTAGAGCTATTTAAAAACAAGCCAAACGGACATTATCTTCTCTGTTAATTATTCACATAAAAACCCAAATTAAATTGGATTCAATCTGACTAAAACATGAAAATCTCATGGTAGGTTTATCTTTCAGGACAAATAAAATCCATGGTGCCTCATAAAAAAAATTGAAGTAAAAAAGGTGTTCCCAGCAAAGTAGTTGGTATTTGAATAAGTTCTAATGGCAGGGCTAATGAAAAAACTTCAGAGAAATATGAGCACTATTATCTTAGAATATTTCTGGTTCTAACCTTTCCTTAAAGGAAATTTAGAATGGACTTAACATGAATGGAGCTAATTATAAATGTGTAAAATGTAGATTTCAGTGAAAAAAATGTGGCAGTCAATTTCCAAAGACCACTCTTATTAACTGTGAAATTCTAAGGCTCTCAGCTAAAACATTCCTTTTTGTTTGTTTGTTTTAGGTCCAGATGTTCAACGGGACAAACTTGTAACAGGGGAGCAAATAGAGTCATTTGCTAACAGGCTTGGCGAATATTGGAAACTTCTAGCTCCATACTTGGAGATGAAAGACTCTGACATAAGGCAAATTGAATCAGATAGTGAAGATGTGAAGATGAGAGCAAAGCAGCTCCTTCTTGCCTGGCAAGACCAAGAGGGGATCCGTGCAACCTTGGAAAACCTCATCACTGCATTGAACAAAGCTGGGTTACATGATCTGGCAGAAAGCTTGACAAATGACACTGAAAACTACAGTTAATTTTCTCAGAAGCAGTTGTTTTAATTGAAACTATAATGGCTATTGTTTCTAAGGAACAGGACCCATTGCTTACATTTGGTATACACATTAAAAATCTTTTAATGTCCCAGTTGTCTTAAGTGTTCTAGGAAGGAAAAGTTTAGTAGCGCTGATCAAAAATCGATATAATAAAGGGTGGTAGACACTCAGTTATTTGTAGTGGTAGACGTGAGAAACTGTGGGGCTTCAGTGATCCTTCTCCTGCCTGCAATAGCAGACCCAGAAGGTGGCTGTGGGATGTGGGCGTCATTGTTCTTGACTTCTTGTGGCAAAAGTTTTTAAAACCGTCTGATATAGTATGAAGGTATGAGCTGGTTCCCACATATAGACTACTGGGCTTAATGGGAAAGTTCCTTCACCATGTTTTTGATGGCTTATAAATAGTACGTTGCAGTTCCCACTACTTAAGTATTTTTGACAGTAATTTATGAGTGAAAAATTGTAATTAAAAGTACCACTGTTTACTGATAAACAGCTGCAGGAGTAAGCTGTCACTCGTCTTGAAGGGCCATTCTAATTCATGTTAAAGGGACACAAGTCGCAGGTCAAAGCTACCAGCAATAACATTTCAATCTTATGATTACTTTGGTTTCAAAATAATCTTTCTTTGTAAATAATAGAATTTTGCTAAAACAACATATCACTACAAGTTCCTATTGTTAGAGAGAGAGATTCTAAATCTTGTAAGTTGGAGAATCACTGCTGTTCCCAGAAATTGGGAGAGGGGGCTCTATTTTCACATGAGCCCGAGGGATACGACAAGAGCTTCTTTGTGCTTTGATAAAAGCTGCTCTAAAAAGTGCTTTGAAACACAAAAGCCATCTGATGAATATTATGACTACAACCAAGCCTCCCCACGCATGGACTTTTATACCTAATCCTCAAAAAATAATATATTCAATATTTTTAACCCTATATAGCCAATGTAGTCTGTTCATTGTGTATTTTAATAGTGGTGATAAAAAATAGCATTTAAAATTAGGGCATGGGTTCCAATAGATCTAAGGCTGTTGGAAGTGGGGAGGGGGGGACAGGAAATCATGTAAAAAAGATGAAGAGGGGTAAACTTTGTACATGTTCATTTTTCTTTCTCAGACTGCTCTATCATATGAACCTTCCTGGAAGACCTTATGGCTATAATTAGGTCTTCCTTATGAGCTACTCCAGACTCTGAACTAATTACGACTTTTGCAGTCCATGTTGTGCCTTTTAAAACTACCACATCTCTATTTTAAGTATTCTTGTGCTGGCCTACTTGTGCAGTGAGAAAGATGCATTTCCTGAAGGTAAACTTTGGGCTTAGCCGGGAGACCAACAGAAATTGCCTATACCGCTGAATTTCCAGGACAAATGGCAGGAAATTGTCTTACAGGAGAAATATATATTACCCCAAAAGCCTGTCTAGCTCGCTTTAAAAGGAAAAGCTCCCTTAGGAAATTACTAGCTACTGTAACTTTCTGGCATGCAGAAGGTCCCAGGGTCAGTCCCCAGAAACACTAGTTAAAGAGGACCAGGTTCTATGGAGATCTTGACCTGAGACCCTGGAGAGCTGCTGCCAGTATGACTAAATCCTGACCTTGAAGGACCAATAGTTTGATTTGGGGTTAGGTAATTTCGTGTGTCTGCGTGTGATCCCACCTTGGGAGGTAAGGCAGCATAGTACAGCCCAGTCTCACCAGATCTTGGAAGCAGGGTCGCTACTTGGGAGACTTCCAAGGAAGAGACTGCAGGGAAGACACTGAGAAAACCACCTCCGCTCCTCACTTGCCTTGGAAGCACCTTGCTGGGGTCACCATAAGTTGTCTGTGACTTGACAGCACCTCACACACGCACAATCCCATCTTAACTCTTCCCACCCCAAGCTAATTTTCATTCAACGCCTACCATAAAACAGTCAAAATATCCTGGTGAGTAGATTTCGCTACACCAGGAGTCTCCACCACCTTTCCTGGTGCCCACCAAGTGTTTTTAGAAAGTAAGAGGAGGTATCCAATGAACTTTTCTTCATCTTCCATCTTTGGTGCAGCCCTACATTGGGCCTGCACAGGCTGGCCATAGAGCAATTTTTCTAGCCTAAAAGGGTTTTTTTTGGGGGGGTGGCGGCACCCTGCCTTGGCCGGCACCCCCTTCCCTCAGTTCCTTTTTCACCGCTGCAGTCAGAAAGCTCTTCTAGCGTGGTCTTCTCAATTTGCATTTTCCCCCAGTTTTCTCTTATGGAATCTTCTCTACAGGGTGAGGCAAGACCAACTGGCCTACCCTGAACTGTTTCTCCATCTTCATTTTTTGTCATTTGAAAGACTAATTGTGGTGTCAGAATTGTGGCAACCAAGGCATTGCTTAAGAATTTTCCAATGCAGAAACACAGTTGATTCATAGGGGCATGAGTTTTGCCTATTATGCTTGGGCAAGTCCCATAGTATCAGCGCCTGGTAAATCTGCCAATGCTTTACTCTTAAGGCTTGATCAGATAGAGCTTTGTGGCTCAAGGCTACAGTTTAAGAAAAAGCCTTGTCCACTCCAACTTCTAAGTCTGTCGTGAGCTCGGATCCTTCCATTTGGTTTGCATGACTTCTGACCCGATATCTGAGGTCTGTTCTGGACTGCCCTCAATCCGTTTGGTTCCATCAGTTCCAGCAGCTAGGAAGATGCCAGTCGTCCCTAAGAGAGCCTTATCGGTAATTCCAGCTTCCAAGCCCAGATGGCCTCAGTCCCTTTCTCTGGCTGTCTTGGCTCCTGCCCATTCACATTCAGAACCTCCAATGAAGAAACATTAAAGAATCAAAACAAGGAAAAGGCTGACTCAGCAACCAAGCTGTCATGCCCACCGTGCCGCCCGACCCAGTGGACCCTCTGCACCTTCAACATCCACAAACGAGCTCCCTGCATCCCTGGAAGTACAAAACCTAAGTCTTGCAGAGGATGAACACCGGCTACCAGAAGGGTTCACACCTGGAGCTGCTCCTGCAGAGCCAAGCACAAGCTCCAAGCCCCCTGATTTCCCCCCACCTGTAGCTCGTTTATGAGACCAAAGGAGACGGGACTTGACAACCCAGCGTAGGGAAGCACGCATGCGTGGGAGGCGTCCTCTGAGTCCTGAGTATTGACGGGAGCCAGGACTCTGTAATCAGCCGGTAATTAGTGACAAGGGGAATGGGCTTTTAAGGCAGCTCTCTTCACTATCCAATCCATGCTGACAACTGATCACATGACTGAATTGCTGCACCTCGGACCTTGCATCTTGTTTCCTGACTTTCTGCTTGACTCCCTCGGCTTTTTGACTCCGGACTGCATGACATCATTCTTCTGGCTACCTGACCTTGGAATGTGTAACCTGACTCTGAACAACAACTCTTTACATTCTCTGCCAATCTCCGGTAAACCTTAGACTGTGCAAGTGACCTGATATTTTGGATTACGCTTTTGTTTCTCTGCCTATCTGGTGCTCTGACCTCAGCCTGTGTTTTTGGATACTCTGTGCCTTGCTTAGCCTGCCCCGCCAGGGCAATCATGACACAAGCATAGTGGACATCACCCTTGAAAAAGACTGCGAAGTAATCATCTTGGTGCCTCCATGCACTCTGTCTCTGCATTTTGATTCTTCACCAAGATTCCTTGTGGACTTGGAGTCTACTCACTTGAGTATCCCAGCTGACCAGGTTCCAAGACTGGAACTGGTTCCATCTTTGGCTTGACAGCAGGTGGAACTGCCACCCATCCCGCTATCATGTAATAATACAATAAATACAGTTAAAAATTTCAAACAGTAATAAACATTAAAAACAAATCACAGTTCAGACAAGTAAACTGGTTGTGAGAATTTTCCTTGCATATTATTTCGGTTAATAAGTGGGTGAAGCAACCTCAGGGAGGCCATACACAGACACCTGCTGCCTTAGTCAAAGGCCTGGCAGAACAGCTCTGTCTTGCAGGCCCTGTGGAACTGAAGAAGATCCCACAGGGCCAGGGCAGAAAAAGCCCTAGTCTTGGTCAAGGCAAGACAGGGCCAGGGACAACCAGATGTTGGTCCGTAGAGTGTAATGTTTTTCAGGGTGTATATGGGAAGAGGCGGTCCCTCAGATATGTTGGTCCCAGGCCGTGTAAGGCTTTAAAGGTTATTACCAACACCTTGAAGTGAATCCGGAAGTCAACTGGCAACCAATGCAGTTGGAGCACCTGCTGGATGTGAACCCGCATAGGTGTCAACGTCAGCAGTCACGCCACTGCATTTTGCACCAGCTGTAGTTTCCGGGTCAGCCTCAAGGGTAAGCCTACATAGAGCGAATTGCAGTAATCAGGGCTAGAAGTGACCATTGCGTGGATCACTGTAGCTAAGTCCTGGGGGGAGAGATACGGTCTCAGCAACCTAATCTGCCTAAGATGGAAAAATGCAGATCCGGCAACTGCAGTAACCTGGGCCTCCATAGAAAGGGAGGCATCCAGTGTTACTCCCAGGCTCCTCACTTTCTGGGTTGGCACCAAAGGCAACCCTTCCGGGATGGGGAGCCTGATACCCACATCCCCCCTTCGAACCAGGTACAAGACCTCCATCTTTGATGAATATAGCTTCAACCGGCTCTGCTGCAGCCATCCAGCCACAGCATCCGAAGCCTCTGCCAGAATGTCAGGGCTGGAAGATGGATGGCTGTCCATTAACAGATAGAGCTGGATGTCATCAGGATATTGATGGCAACCCAGCCCATAACTCCTGACTAACTGAGTGAGGGGGTGCATACAGATGTTGAAAAACATTGGCGAGAGGATTGCCCCTTGTGGTACTCCATATTCAAATGGGTATTGCGGGGAGACCCTCTCACCAAGTGTCACCCTCCATCCCTGACCACGGAGAAAGGAGGAAAACCATTGTAAGGCAGTCCCCCATACTCCCACGTCAGTGAGGCGGTGGGTCAACAGATCATAGTCAACTGTGCTGAACGCTACCATTAGGTCTAATAGCGACAGCAGCGCCAACCTGCCCTGATCCAGCTGCCTACAGAGATTGGCTGTAAGGACAGAGCCGTCTCCATCCCATGGCCAAGGTGGAAGCCAGACTGGAAAAGATCAACGATGGAAGCATCCTCCAGGAAGACTTGGAGTTCAGCCACCACTCTCTCAACCACCTTACCCAGGAACGGCAAGTTTGATACTGGGTGGTAGTTGGCCAGGACCGTAGGGTCCAATGATGACTTTTGCAAGATCAGACAAACTACCACCTCCTTCAAAGCCTCTGGGAAAGTCTCATAAGAGAGGGACAAGCTGATAATTTCTCCCAGAGAGACCTGAATGCCCTCCCCACAGGCTTTCACCAGCCAAGAAGGGAATGGGTCCAGGAGGCAGGTAGTAGGCCTCACCCCTGCCAAGATCCTGTCAACTTCGTCCTGGGAGAGCCAAAGTGGTCCAGTGTCAGACCAGAAGACAAGACAAGGGGCTTCCAATTCCTTTACTGTCTCTGTAATACATGTTACCTACCTACTTCATCTGTTTGGTACCGGAGGGGATTAGGATTAGAACCCACCCCTCCTTTGCTCCATTCTGCTCTCCATTTCATGAGTCCAGT